ATCTGATGCTTGACAAAGACAGTCAAGCCTAAATTGGAGACTAGCACTTTCTGATGCCTGTAGGGATTTTTCCCAAACTCCCTGAAGAAAGAAGCTCACTGCTATTTACAGCAAAGGCAGGGAGGGGGACACTCATCCTGAACTGCCTGGGAAAGGGGAAGGAGAGGCTGAGGGTTGAGGAAAAAGAGAGTTTCCAGGCTCAAAGCATGAGGGATTATTGATCATCCCTGCTGTCCAGGTCGATCCTGCCAAAGGCAGTACTGGAGCACTGGAAGCAAGAGGTGACCTGCACTCTCGGGCCACGGAAACCATGAAGAAAGCATGAGAGATCTGATTGTCTGTTTGCCACGGACATGGCTGGAGAGGTCCAAGACTTAACCACCTTTGGGGCCTCAGGACGGGTCAGGAAGTTGTGTCTCCAGCCTTTGGGTGACACCGGGGAGTGCCCCGGCCAGAACACCTTTTGTGGCTTGAAGACAAACTTCCCTTTCCACCGGCTGTTCTCGGACCTCCCCTTAAGCTGGTCAGATCTTGAAAGAGAGTGTTAGCGTTTAAGGAGAGGAAAAAAGAAAAAGCCTTGGTGCACTGAAGTCGAGTTCTGCTCACGTAGCATTGGCAGTGCAGTACAAACCCCTGCCCGGCCTCTGAGTTTCCCAGATTGCCTGCCGTACAGCTGTAGTGGGCTTGGACCTTTTCCTCAGTTTCCCAAGGAAGAAACCCTCCTTAACAAGACAGAGAGAGAGGGAGAGAAGGTCGACCTGAGAGTTCCACCGTAGCTAGGCCGTGGTGGGGGGTCTCTCCTGGAAAACAGACTCCACCGGAGTGCCGGACGCTCACGGTCACATTCCTAGGCAGTCTTTCCCAGTTTGGCACAACCTATACCGACCTCAGGTGAAGGCTGGTCCCTTCGTGCGTCGCCAAATATGATGCACGGATGACATGCACAGGAATTTCAGGTGCTCAGGGTTCTTGAGCCTGCTCTGAGAATGAAAGCACAGACAGACTCTAACAGCAGAGGTCGGAAAGATTTTATTGCAGAGAATTTAGTTGGAGAAAAGAGAAGAGAAAGGTTGCATATTGGAGAATGCAGGGGGACCTGAAAACCAGTGATCCTGTGGGTCAGGGTGGGGAGTGGGGTTTATAGCCTATTTGCATTGCCTGATGGCGGAGATGCCTTTCAGATGCAAAAAGGCATTTCCTAGGGAGGAGAAGTGTCTCCTTGACCACTTACCGCCTTTTGGACCTCCCGCAGTCTGTCCTTCAGTCCTTCAACTTTACTCTGCAAATGTCACAACAATGGAGACAGCATACAGCCCAGTGGTTGGTAGGTTTTGGCAGGATGGAGGGGAGAGCAGTCAGAACCCAGGGGATTTTCAGGGCAATGTGGGATCATTCATTTCATGTTTTTCAAAACTCATAGACTGTACAACTGCAAGAAGGAACACCAAAGTCAACTATGGACTTGCAAAGATGCTCGTCGTGGTTGGTCTATGAACGGTAACATTTGTCTCCATCTGGAAGACTTGCTGCTCCTGGGGGAGACTGTGCCTGTGTGGAACAGGGGATTTGGGAACTGTGGAGTTCTGTCCAAATATTCTGCGTTTTTAAGAGTGATATATATAAAAAATCAGGTTGAGCAGGAGGTCTGGCTCAGGCAGTTGAGCCCTTGCTCAAGTCCTTGAACATGGAGTTCAAACCCTAGTGCCCCCCAAAAATCAAAAGTAGCCAGGCGCAGGTGGCTCACATGTATAATCTTAGCTACTTAGGAGACAGAGATCAGGAGGATCACAGTTTGAAGCTAGCCTGGGCAAATAATTCTCGAGACCCTATCTTGAAAACACCCAACACAAAGAAAAGAAAGGTGGAGTGGCTCAAGATGTAGGCTCTGAGTTAAACCCCAGGACAGCAAAACAAAACAAAATTAAACAAAACTAAACTAAAAACCAAGTCTATGTTGAAAAATAAGCACAGCAATTCAAACTCTAAAATTTATACTTCTAAATATTTATTAGAATAGAAACATTCTCATTCATGCTGCTTAAAGTCGCTTTGAAAACTTTATTTTATTTTGAGATAGGGTCTCCCTATTTACCTGAGGCTGGCCTCAAATCACATTCTTACTGTCCCAGCCTTCTGAGTGCTGGGATAACCGGTGAGCACCACCACACACAGCTCAACTTCTTTTAATTACTCGTTCTTTTTTTTTTTTATATATAAGGGAGGGGATGCTTTGAGTGCAAACCAGGGTCTCAAGCATGCTAAGCAAGCACTCAACCACTGAGCTACATTCCCAGAGCAAGTCCCATTGGTTTTGAGCCAGCAAAGGAAATTAAACACAACTTTAGCATCCTACTGCATTCTTTGAAAGTTCTAAATTTCCTTTATAATTTTCAAATCAATTCATATCTGTTATCTCTAAGCATCCCAACATGAGTCTTACTCCTATTTTCTGCATAGTGAGCAGGAAATGTTTCTTTTTATTCTCCATGTCACACTGCTTTATTCTATTATGCTAAAATAAATCCTTGTTTAAACTTCAACCACAATCACAACACGAATGCTCCATAGGATTTCATAACAGCTTGTAAATGACTACACAAAAAAGTGGTTCTTGTAAAACTGGGAACACCTGTCCTGATCTTCCAGCAGAGGGCACACAAACCATTGGCTTAGAACTGTCCTCTTCTGATCACTGAAGGTGAATCCAGGTGGTTCTTTGTTTCCTGTACAGGGCTTCCCCTCTGCTATGCAGATGTTCTACCACATCAGCCACACGCCCACGAATCCAGTCATGCCCCCACTGTCCACCCCTGCTGCCAGCTTCGTCTGTCCTCTTTGGATGAATCCTGATGAAATGGAGGCCCCATGTAGAAGCTGAGTCCCATTCTGTGCCTGACTCCCTGCTCTCCTCCCAGTTAACGGGAACGGAGAGTGAACTGAAGGATGGTGTTGCCATGAGGGATAAAGAGGGAAAACTTGCCTCTCCTTCTGTTACCCTACCTGGGATTAAATCCAGGGAAAACTAAGCCAAATGAGACATACCCTCAGGCCTTGTGGGGTTTTTAGTTTTGGTTTTGCGATAAGAGTCTTGCTAACTTTGTCCAGGCTGGCACCTGGATGCACCTCCTGAGAACTGAGATTACAGGCGTGCTCTACCCATTCTCACAAGATGCTCTTACTGAGCACTTACTATTTGCAGGCCCATGCACATCCTAAAACACACATCACCTCATTTGCTCCTCCAGGGTCCCTCAGCTGGTGGATATCACTGTCCTGAGAGGCAAACTAAGGCTCTTCCCTCAGGTCCCCTCCCAAATCCCCAGGCCCTGGGTCTTCAGCAGTAGCCATCACACAGTGGCCCTTTGTTGAGCACCATCCAGCCAGGGAAGGTCCTATTAGACCACAGGCACTTTATCCTGATCCAGGACAAGATAATGCAGGGGATGTGGGGGCAGGGTGGAAGGTCTGAAGGGGTTTTGTGTCAATGGAGTTTAGAAATTTAAAGGGGAGATTGAGTTCCACTCCTTGGTCTGGTCAACGGTGCTTACAGTGGGATCAGCTGAGCAAGGTGTAACAGGAGAGGAGAGACTCCTGAGTATGTGGTGCCTCCATGTTTGCCTCCATGGTGGGAACCTCGATTTCAAATGGCCAAGTTTAGGAGGAGAAATCTGTAGAGAACTCAGCCAAGACTGTGTTATTGCTGTGGTAAAATCAAGTTACCAAAAGACGTGGGACAGAATTGAAAAATTAAGATCCTTTAAGCCTACCATCAGTTCTTTTGTGGAGAAAATCCTTTAGCAGAGGGGATGAATATTTGTCCATGTATGCAGGTCTTGTGTGCAGGGGACAGACAAATAGTTGGGAGTCCTCAAGGGTGTGGCCACTGAAAAGTGCCTTATACCCCCACCCCTTTTTTGTAGTATTAGGGTTTGAACTCTGGGCCTCATGCTTGCTAAGGAGGTGCTTTATCTCTTGAGTCACTCTGCCAGCCTTTTTGTTGTGTTGGGTATTTGGAGATAGGGTCTAGAGAACTACGTGGCCTGGCAGGCTTTGAACTGCAATCCTAATCTCAGACTCCAGGGTAGCTATGACTACAGGCATGAGACACCAGCACTGGGTCCCATTTTCTTTTAATGTATTTTGTCCTGCACATTTCTCCAGCCCCCATGGATGTGCCCATGTTCCCCCATAGCCTGAGAATCATGCATCCCACATCCCACTCCTCTATTCTAGTCCTTGGAGTGGTTCTGAGCAGCTCACTTCAGCTGACAGCCTTGTGTGCATAACCACTGACCAGCCACACATATGAATGTCACAGATGCCCAGAGAGAAGGAAGAATGGAAGGCAGTGGTCAGCGTGGCTCCAATTGTAATGTTAAGAGTTCTTGGGCTTCAGCCTCACTGATGAGAGAGCTCAGTGCCTTTGCTTTCCCTACAGTCCCTACAGTGTAAAGGGCTTTCCTCCCTTTACACTGGAAGCAGATTGATTGACTATGCTGATGAGAGGGCTTGAATCAAATTATAAGGTTTTCTTCATTTGACCATTTCTCTATGGAACACCCATAAAAGTGTGACGCCCTCATGCACCTCTTTAGCCTGAGGACACATCTACACACTGATTTGGGTTTCTGACTACTTGAGACACATGTCCCAAGACTCATCTCTCTGTCCCACACAAATCTGAATCCCCTCCATCACTTTTACTTTTCCCAGGCCCATTGGGAAGAAATTATGTGTTCGGTGTTCTTTGACCAGATCACTAGGCATTGACCCAGCCTTTCTAGTACTCAGAAGAAAACTTTTGATATTTGCAGCAAACTAGGCAGGCATCTGACAGCAACAGAGACTCCCCTCCATATTATAGAAGCATCTCTTGCCACATTGATGGCAGGGGTCAATACCAAAAAAGACCATCTTGGGTTGCCTTAAGGCTCTCAGTGTATCCATAAGCTCAGCACAATGTTGAGAAACTCTCCCTGTGTGCACAGCCCCCAGCCCACCATAGCTCTCCACAGGAACTGGGTACAGCTCCTGGCTCAATTGGCACAGCCTGGCAGTGTGGTGCAGCAGGTCCTTCAGGACAGATATGGAGATGTCATTCCCATAGAAACAGAAGGTGGTGAGCTGGGAGCAGTGGCTCAGGGCAGGCAAGAGGGTAGTGAGCTGGGGGTCCGTGATTTCACAGTCCTCCAAGTCCAGGGTCTTCAGTGTTTCTGCAACTCTCTCTAGCAGAACTCGGAGGGGCTCAGGACTCACATATGTCAATGGGACTCCTCTCAGACTCAAGTGTTCCAGCTGGCGGATGCTCAGGCACCTGGACAGACACTGCAAGTCTGATTCTTCAAGCTGGCAGTGAGTTATTGACAGGGACTTCAAGGGGTTCTTCAGGCACCTGAGGAGACAACGAGTAGTTAGGTCTGGCTAATGGATTGCAGGTATTTGGCTATTAAAGGAGGATCAGAACTTCAGGTCAGAGAGCACGACCTTTTCCACATGGAACTGACCAATTGCAACATGGTTGACACCAAGGATGGTGCATGTCAAAGAGTGTGTTCTGTAGTCAGCCCTTTTTAGGCTGAGGCCTTTCACCATCATTGTGTGACTGGCTCACTGCCTCATCTCCACAGCATCCTTTCCTCACTGTCACACACAATGACCCTGCTCTGGCCAGTGCAGACCTACAGGAAGGACATACTCAGGCAAGATCTGGAAACTTTGCTGGGTTGCTTCCTGTGTAGCTCACTCCTCCTTGCATCCCTAGCATAGCATCTGTCACTGTTCCCTTGCTTCACTGCTGCTCCTCACCCTCAACCTCAGTCTCACACACTTGCCACCTCTCCCTCCACTGCCTAAAGTCAACACCACCACCTTTCACAGAGACAAGCTCCTTCCCGTCCACAGCTCCAGAGCTCAGTGCTCCCTTGGTGACCTGTGCAGGTGTGAGTTGCTTCCCTCCTTCAGTGCCCCCTTGTCCTTCTTATTTCCACCACCTGGAGTATGAAACTCCTCCTATGGAGGAACTCACAGCCACTGACCCAACACCTGACATCTACAATTGTCTTTCCTGCAGTCACAGGACCTTCCTGACCTTTCCACTGGAAGCAGGTTGATTGGCCATGGAGGTATACAGGTTTTACACAAAGTTCAAGGTTCCCTTCACTTCTGACCATTTCGCTATGGACCATCCACGAAAGGGCAACACCCTCACGCACCTCTCCAGTCCGAAGACACATCTACACATTCTAATTTGGATTTCTGACTGCATAAGATACATATCTGAAGGTCTCAACTCCAGTGACCCTCTCCAGGTCATTAACCATGATGTGTCCTCTGACTTTAAAGGGCCATGAGAGAACACAGCACAGGATAGAGTAGGAAAAGTCAACAGTTACATACATAGCGCATACATCACACTGACATCACCTGGCAAACAGGATGTAACCTACCTTCTGTATAATGCAACATGAAAAGACTTGCTCTGCTCTACAGAGACTTCCCCATCCATCCTCACCTGAGCACCTGGTGTAGGTGGCCATGCAGGAAATAAGCCCTGCTCATACAGAGCTGTTGGAGGCAGCCAAGTTTGCCGAACTGAGAAGTAAAAGTGGTGACAAGCTGCTCGTGCTGCTCTGGAGTTATGGATTCTGACACACAGGTATGAGAGATGTTGAGTTTGTGCAGGTTTCTCATTTGGCCCAGGTAAGGAGCAAACATGACCAGGGCCTGCAAGGTCCAGGGACAATCCATGACCAACTCCTCCATCCAGTCCAGCTCCAAAAGGCCCAGGACCCTGTGGATGGACCATGTCCTAATGACAAGAATGGACAGTCCCCAAATTTGCATCTTCCTACAGCACAGTTGTATCAAGCTTTTCCTCTGCTGAACCCACTCAAACAAGTACAACTGGAATTTATTCAGGTCACAGGGCTCCAGGTTAACATCAACTATCAGTCTCAAGGGCTGCTTCACCCCTATTCTTGGGGGGACCTCTGCTGCTTGATTCTTGCTCTTGGTCTGTAGGATGCAGTCCTCAGGCATGGATTTAGACCACATGTTCCAGAAGTTCTGGTGCTCAGACCCCAGGTCAAGCACCTGCAGTTTCCACCTCCTGAGGAGAAACAGGGAGAGTCTGAGAATCTTGTCAGGGTCCAAACATCCACCTGTGCTTCTATTCCCCATCCTCTACCCTGGACATCTCTGTACCCTTTTCAATTTCATCCTCATCTTAGTTTTCCTTCTTTCTTTTTTTATGCCTATCTTCAATCCCCTTATTTCTTGAAGTACTGAGCCTTAATCCTAGGGCCCCATGATCACTAGGCAAAGGCTCCTTGGTTGGGCTTCATAGACAGAACTCTCACTTCCTTTTCTCCATCCCCTTTCCATCAGTCCAGCCTGGTTCCCACTTGTATCAGCAGAGGAAAGACACAGGTACAGCTCCTTCTGATATTCCGACATCCATCCTAAGTAATCCTCCATTCCCAGAATACCTTTCCTAGGTGGAGCTCAGCTTTGTCCCTGGCCTTTCTAATCTCCTTGTTTTCACTATCATATGCTTGGTCCTTCCTTCCCACTCTCCATGTTCCATCTCAGCTCTGCCATGATCCCAGGGCCCTCCCTTCCACGAAGCCTGAGTCACACTCACCTGGGGCGAACCTGCTGGCAAAGTAGCTTGTCAATCCCATCCAGGGCAACCTGTAAAGTCTCCAAGTCTCTTGTCTTCTGAATCAGAGCCCCTAGGGGGAGACAGGGGAAGGGCCAGGCCTGTACCATGGCCTTCACAATCTCATTGCGTCTCCAGGTGAAGGCCTCCATGAATAGAGGAGGGAAGAGCTCCATGGGCAGTGTCTCCACAACAGAGATGTCCAGGGCATCATTCTGCAGCAGGCTTTGCCCTGCCAGCTGCAGGAGGGTGGGTGGGGCTTTCATGCTCATTCTGAAGGATCTGAAATGAGAGGCTCCTGGCACTCATCCGGGATGGCACCTGCTTAAGGCCAAGAAAACCCCTATTCACCTTCCAAGGACCCAACTGAAGACCCAAGTCATTGCTCTGCAATGGTGGAAGAAAATTCAGTTTACCCCATTTCCCCTCAGCACCTGAGGGTGACAAATCCACAACTCTGAACAGACAGTAGAATAAGTGTGTCACCAGCACTAACATGGGCACAAGTTCACTATTGCTCATGTATTTCCTACCACTGCTCCTGTGAGTTCAGAACCCTCTGGAAGAGACACCATGAAGTCAGAAAGCTCACATCAGCCTTTTTGTCATAAAGTTTCTGGTCATCACTCAAAATCACAAAACTAAGGCAAGGAAAATCCCATGCGCCCTGCTTCCCTACATTCTCCATTCCTTGTATGTTACCCGGCTGCCCAGGAAGGATGGAAGAAACTGGAGAAAATGGTGCCATACATTTCCCTTTTCCAATCCTTGAAGAAGTGATTGTGGAAGCCATGGAGCAGGGAGGCAGCATGTGGGAAATGCTGACTCTGGGGCGGAAACCCTGAGCATAAGGTGAGCTCTGAGAGGGACATTCCCATGTGCCTGCCCTGCTCCTGGAGCACTGAGCCCTGGGAGAGGAGCCTGGGAGGCCTGGGACAGAGCAGGGCTCCTCCTTTAAGGTCTGCACAGGCTGGGGTGGAGCTCAGTGACAGAGGGCTCCCTTGTAGGCAGAATGCCCTAATTGGGTCCCCATCTCCACTAAATAAGCAAACAAATAATTTGGTGCAAAATATTGTGCAGAATATTTTAAATTTTCTCCCCCACCCCTTTTCTTCAGTACTTAATCCTGTTGTGACAGTGTCTCTCTCTATAGCTTTGGCTGGCCTCCAACAATTGACCATCCACCTCAGCGTCCCAAATGCTGGCATTACAGCTGCCCCACCATGCCCAGTCCCAGCTTTGCTTTTAAACTGACTTGCAAGGGAGGTGTAGAAACACTTGTGCCTGCAACCAGACCATGGGGGCTGCTGGAGCGGAGGATTGTGAGTTAGAATTACACTTAAGTCTGGATGATGAGTGAAAACAAATCTCCAAAGTAATTAGATGACTGTACATCAAGAGGTCCCTGGTTCAAACCCGAGTGCCTCTTTCAGTAAAAGGGAAAAAAAACCCTACAAAATACTTAGATGAATGAACAGATGGATAGAAAAACAAAGAAAAAATAAACAAATTATAAAAATTGAATATGTAAAATCACTAGAACACTTACTCAGAGAACTGTAATTTAATGGACTAAACAGTAATATTTAAATTGTTAAGTAATAAAAGTCCAGTCACATGATGGTGCTGTTTTAGAAAACAAAACAAAAGCTTCTTTAAGAAATTTGCAAATGAAAGCCAGGCTTGGTGGTGCAGTAAAGCAATCCCAGCCCTCAGGAGATATAAACAAGAGAGAATCACAATTGCAAGGCCAGCTGGGCTACATCAAGAAGTTTGAAAATTACCTGAGCCAGCGAACACCTAAGGTATTTGTGTCAGCCATCCTTGGCTCAGGCCTCTAACCCTAGTTACTCTGGAGGCAGTGATCAGGAGGATCGAGGTTTGAAGCCAACCCCGGGAAATAGTTCCAGAACCCTAACACAAAACACCCAACACAGATCCACTTTTGGTTCATCAGCGTTGATGCCTGAGTGTTCACACCTTTGCATGACACGCACCACTCTCAGACCTCGTGTTGTTATGATGTACACCACCATTCTGACATAAAAAATAGAGATATGGAAGCAAATAAATGAATAAAATAAAATACCCAACACAAAAAAGAGCTGGAGGAGTAGCACAAGTGGTAGAACAAAGCCTACCAAGCATGAGGCCCTAAGTTCAAATCAGCACTATCAAAAAAAAAAAAAAAGATACCTGGGATGAGGAAAAAGCTAAATTTGGAGTCAAAATCAAAGTCTTGCGCTGGCAGCATGGCTCAAGTGGAGCGCACCTGTCTAGCAACCTAGAATCCCCAAGTTCAAACACCAGATCCTCTAAAAGGGAAAGAAGTCGTAAACTGTTTATCTGAGGATGCAGAAATCATAAGGTTCTCAGTGGCACCCTGGTGCAAGGCCACAACTGACCTGGCTGAGGGAGGTTCTGGGGTGTCCATATGGAGGTGACTTACCGGATGTAGACTCTCTGACTCCCAGCAGGCACAGGCAGTGACTCCAGGCTCCAGGACTCTACTTCTCTTCCTTTGGTTCTTCTGAAGCTTTCTTGACCTTTTTACAAGCACTTCCCTTTTCAACTACTTGTGTCCAATCAGAAAGCAGCATCTGATCAGATTACTGAAGCTCCACCCTGTTAATCCTAACTGGCTGTTCAACTTTCTCTAGAACAACTGAGTGAGTCAGATGCCCCTCTCTGAAAAGGAAAGACTCAGGAATGGTGTGAAGGTCAAGGACCCACCCGTTGATCCAATGCACCCCTTTGGTGGTGATTTTCTGCTCTGTGACTGCCATAATCCTGAATGTGAGACAGGTAATCATATAGCCTGTTCCTGATATTAGAAAAAGCAAAATTGGGGCGGGGGGGGGGGTGGCGGCAGGAGGGAGAAATGACCGAAACAATGTATCTACATGTGAATAAATGAATAATAATTTAAAAGTCAAGCCTTATAAATGTGTCCCACAGTTAAAGCAGCTCAGTACACCTGTAGTCCTAACCTCTTGGGAGGTTTAGCAAGGAAGTTCCCTTGAGCCAACACCTTGGAGACCAGCCAGGACATAATCCTGAGTGCCTTCTCTAATTACTTAATGTATCCAGCAAAGGAGAGCATGACATTTCAAGCTTCAACAGAAAATACATTTGAGCAGCTTAAATAATCCAGAGATAATTTCTAAGTGAAAGAACACCGGTTGTCCCCACAGGCTCAAATCCTAGACCACAGCTCACAAAGACACTGAAGGATCCCACCACAGATCAAAACCACAGCTGGAGATAACCTACCCCCAACAGTGTCAGGGGAGCCCCATTGTGTGGAACCCTTGCTGCAGTGGACAATGGGAAGGGTTAGGGACATAAATCTTTCTGCTTACTCTACAGCCCGGAAACATGCGATGCTCATTTCACTACACTCAGTTCTTGTTGCATGAGCTCTGTAATGTGATGTTAACCAGACCCAGTGTTTAACATGTATCTGTTTCTCTTCATGCTGGATTTAAAGATAATTCACCTTAAAAAACATTTCTGAAACATCAGTGTGTGTCTTGCTCTTTTAGACAAGGTGTCCTATGTATCTCAAGCTGTCCTTGAACTCTGTCCTCCTGTCTCTGCCCCCCAAGTGCTGGTATTGCAGGAGTGTCCTGCTAAGCCAGGCCTAAGTACTGTGTTTGGAATCACAGAAAACGAGCCACAACAAATATACAGGACACTTAGATGAGCATTAATTAATTAAAGTTGTATTAAGGTGAATGTTATAGTATCTTAAAAGGGAGTGCTTCCCATTTTCATCCTATTTGAAAACATAGTGAGACCAGCAAGTGACCAACTATTGTACTACAGTAGTAGAACTTTTTTCTTTGCAGTGTGGGGATGGAACTGAGCCTCCAGCAATCCAAGCAAGTGCTCTACCCCTGAGCTCCATCCAGCATGAGAATCACTTTTACATTATTGGAAAAACACCATAGATGCAGTGTATGGTGGTACACTTCTATAATCCCAACACCAAAGAGCAGAGTCAAGAGGACTGGGAGTTTCATTCCAGCCTGGGATCACAGGAGATGCTGCCTTAAGTAAATAAAATAAAATAAAAAAGGAGAGTTAGTGTGAGAAAAAAAAAAAGCAGAGAGAGGGGAAACTAACTTTTTTTATGGGTCTGGGAGCATGGCCCTGAGTTGAAGGACTTTATCCCCATTCCTGGGAGTGACCTGTGTCATACGGGAGGGAGGTGGTGGCCACTCTCCTGGGAGGGCTGAATTGCTGAGGGGGCCTAGGCAGAGGACAGTTTGCAGGAGCAGTGACCTCCTGGCCAAGGCCTCGTCCTCAGTCATGGGTCTTGGCACCTTCTCCTCTTCGTCCGGATTCTCAACTCCACATAGGCCTGGCCTTTCCATGGCAATGCAGCATCCTTTCTCTAGGCACGGCTTTCCTTTTCTTGTTCCCACAGGAGGAACTGTCTCCATGATGTCATCCTCAGTCACCTTCCCAGGGAGCCAGCCCATGTGCACTTGGGTGGGCTTGGGAAAGGTCTCCCCTCCTACCCACTTTTCCTAGGTTTGGATTTGGAGCTAGAGTGCCTCCTGTCGTCTGACCTGAAGAAGGGGTGGAGAGCTGGAGGATCTGGGGGACCCACTGGAGCTTCCTGAGAGGGGACTTGGAGTAGGAACTGGAGTCATGGCTGCAGTAGAGCCAGAGGGTGAACTGGACAGAGACCTGACGCGGTGGCTTCCGTCTCTATCCCTGTTGGGGCTTCTTGCTCCACTGCCTTGTGGCCACTTTATCTTACAGAATCCACGGACTTCTTGTCAGGGTGTCCCCATCTTCCTCCTTCCACTACCTCCTCCTGCTCACTTCTTTGTGAAATTTTTGTGCCCAGAAAGGCAGGATAGCCAGGCGCTGGTGGCTCACGCCTGCAATCCTAGCTACTCAGGAGCCAGAGATCAAAAGGATCACAGTTCAAAGCCAGCCCAGGCAAATAGTTCCATGAGCCCCCATCTCAAAAAACACTTCACAAAAATGGGACTGGTGGAGAGGCTTAAGGTGAAGGCTCTGAGTTCAATCCCCAGTAGCACAAAAAAGAGAAGAAAAGAAAAAAAGAAAGGCAGGGTATCTTTTCTGTAACAGATTGGGTTGGTGTACTGTATTCTTGGTAATAAAGTAGTCATACAGTTTGGGGATTCTGAATTTTAAATATTCATGACATGTCAAAAGCGCAGTAAGGATGGAACCCAGGCACATACACGGAATGTGTGATCTACACAGGAGTAAACAGGCACGTCAAACTGCT